GCCCAAGTGCAAAAATGACAGCTGCCTTGGCCCTCTTCTTTTGCAAGGCATGGAGCTGGGAAGTTGTGTGTGCAACCGCTGGGATTGTGCATCCATCCAGCATACAGGTGTTGGCAAGCACAGAGGTATTAAAACGCAGTCTCAGGTGTTGTGTCTTCAGGGGAATTGCATCTGTGTCTGTGTGGGTGGGAGCACGTGTGCAAAAATAGAGGCCGTGGTGCAGGCAGACTCATCCCTCAAAGCTCATGGCCTGTTGATGCTTGTTCTTTTGCTGGAGTTTGTCACCAGGACCAAAGCCCCCCCGTATCAGCAACTGTCCCTGCCAGCAGATGATGGCCAGGGTGATGCATGGTGGGGGTCCCAAGGGCACACCCTCACCAGGGTGCAGGACTGATCATGCACCCCTCCGGGCATCGGCAATTCTTTAAGGTTTTGGGCACCCCACACCCCTGCCACCAAAAATGCCCCCTGTTCGGTGCAATCAAAGCAGCTGATTGCAGCCCCTCCGGGCTTTGCTGCTTGCTTCCTGCAGGGATGGAGAGGAGAGGAGAGGAGAGGAGCCTGCGTTGTAACCTTCCCAGGCATTTGATGGCTGGAGTGGCATCAAAGCCAGTGAGCAAAAGCTTGTGGGGTGGTGGGTTTGCTAGTGGGACGATGGGCAGATTGGGATGGGAAGGAGCTGTGCAGAGAAGGTACGGCTTTTCCAGCTTAAGGGCTCCCTTCTCCGCCTTCCTCATTCCTCATCACACCAAACTGCTTGTCCCTTTGGGGTGGGGCAACATTTGGCTCTGGGTGCGTGAGTTCATTGCAAGCTTTCTTTCCTGGGCTCAGCTCTGGCTCCAGCACTGAGCTCTCGTGCATTGCTTACCATGCAAATCCCTCCACAAGAGGCCAGGGTGCTGCCCTACACCCCGGCAGGGTTACCCCAATCTTCTGGTTCCCGGAGGGCTTTGCCGGGCAAGTTGCAAAGCTGCAGCCAGCATGCAGCTACCCCGGAGCAGGAGAGTGGGTCAGACAGGGGCTCCCTCGTCGACTAAGCATGGGTATGGTGTCTCTATGAACCTAGCAGCCTTGTCAGGACGTGCTCAACACTGGGTCATCGCAGTAAGACCTAGTGCCTGAGCCCTGGGCAGGCCTCTTGTAGCTCTGGAGGCATCATGGGATGAGCGGCACTGTACAGCTCCAAGCATGCTGGGGCCCTAAAGCATCCTGGAAATGCTATGGGACCCTTGCTGCGCCTATGCTAGAACCAGCAAAGCATCCCGGGAGGATGCTGGGGAGGTAGTCAGGGCCAAATGGAGACAGAGAGAGAGCATAAGCAGTAAAGACAATCCACTGTCTGTCTCATAGGGCCTGGACAGATGTACAAGTCCACCATCAGATGGGGATGAGACTTACTGCTCCGGAGCTGATGTGGTGTAGCCGCTGCATGCCTGCTCCTATCCCACGACAAGGGAAGCGATGCAGCCACGATCCTCCACAGAGCGGAAGGGAGTGCATTTACTAAGACCCCGCTCCTTTAAAGCAGCCTTGTTCCTGATGCATGTCCACACACACAGGTGTGCAGGTTGCTCCTGGCTCAAACATGTGCTGGTCTGGGCCACATTACACGCTGGGGATACAGGCTGGGGCTGCAGCTCCGAGTCTGGCAGTAACAGCCCCTGCCACGGCTCCCTACGAAGCCTCGTGCCTCGGGCCCGCGGCTGTCCGCAAGCCCGTGCGGCTGCTCTGAGTCACCTGCCAGCTCCTTCAGCGCAGCCCGGCGGAGCTGCAGAGAAGCCAGGAACATGCTTGCGTGCATCTGGCGGGGGCCGACGTGCCAATTCAGCTTGGCAGTCGGCCTCTTCGGGGGCTGAGACAATCAGACTCGGCAGATCAATGCAATGGTGTTCAAGCCCCTCCGGGGCCGATTCCCCCAGCTCACCCGTCCTGTCTTGTTTGAGATCCTCCTGTTTTCAGGCTCCGACAGGAGCAGTTTTGCTGCAGGGTGTGAGAAGGAGCTAGCCCAGGTGGGTCTGCTGGCATGGGCTGCGGGGTAAAGCACTGCAGAGGCGGGGTGCTCCGAGGAAGCATGCTTACACTGCTGGCTTGATGCCCTGGTTGTGCTTGTGGGGGGCTGCACCCTAGAGCTGCTGCTTAAGAGCACATTGGGGAGACCAGGCCTCCAAAATCCACCCCCCCCCCCCCCCCCCAGCCCGCCGG